CAACGTGGTGCGATCATCCCCCTTGCGCGGAGCGAGGGTTCTCCACCCCGCACAACATGATCTACTCGACCACCATTATGGTTACCGCCAAAAAAAAAAACGGAGGTAAAAAAAAAAAAACGGTAACCTGGTTGCCGAGTTCACGAAGTGAATTGGCTTGTTTTACAACGTCTTTGCCAAGCGAAGAAAACCCAATCCCGATGGCAAACACGGGGGGGGGCGGCTTGTTTTACAACGTCGTTGCCAAGCGACGAAAACCCAACCCCGATGGCAAACACCGGGAGGGGCGGGGGGGGTCAAAAGCGTCGGTGGAATAGCGCCGGTGGCCCTGTGTAGCGCCGGTGAAATTGCCGGGCACAGACTGAATCGCCAAGAAACTCTGTACATTGAATAGCACCAGTCCCTCTAGAAAGCGCCAGTCGATATTGCGATGCCACATCGACCAGTGTTATTGAGGGTCCATCACCGATTTCCCTTCGCCGGTCAAACTCCCCTCCCCCGGGGGCCTAATGCAGCAGCCCGACGCGAAACATTGCCGTGGCCGGCGTGGGATATACGCCTTGGTCACTGTGAGCGAAACTGTCTCTAGAAAACGATCTCCCCGCGTCCAGCAGGTCAACTCTTGCTGTAAGCCGTTGGAATAACGAGGGTGTTGCACGTCTGAGCCACACTGTTGCGAACAAACGTTCCACGAAGCACTACCGAACGTCCACCTAGGGTGGACAAAAAGAAATGGACTGCACCTGTACTGTTGTAGACTCTAGAGGAAGATGCCACCTGGTCCCTGCCATTTTCAGTGACACACATGTGCGATCTTGCAATTTCGTCGGGCAGTCGATCTATCTGTTGGTTCCTTGCGCACGCCTTTCACCTCTTGGGCCAAACATGTTCCTTGCACCACATACAGCAAGCAAGGTCCACCACGTCCATACCTTCGACGTGAATATAGTCAATTCGTCGTACAAGCAGTTTCGAGGACTTGAGGGCAAAAAAACAGTGCAAGTTTAACGTGCTTCGGACACGAGAAAGATGCCCCCGCCCAATGCTAGATGTTGGTTTCCCCACAGAGGATACAAAGAGCGATCCTAGGGCAAGGTACTTCGAGAGAAACCTCTTGCTTTGAGAGAAGAATAACCGGTTTTGCCCCCCCACATGCATGGGAGAACCGTCATCATCGTCATCCGCACGATTCGACGAGGCTCACGCGCCATCAACCTTGTACTGAAAATAGCATGTCAGGATGTATGTCGTTCTGCAGTATTCCATCTGCAAGAGATCCTTCGGTCCTCATCGGCACAGCAGAGCATGGGCGGGACGTGACGAGTTCAAAACACATGGGCAGTAATTGAGAGTAGAACCAACGACACCAAGGCGCCCGGCACACAACGGATGGATTTGAATTTTTTGGTTCTTCCAACACTATATGATGAAGTTGCGTGCGGGGCATGTGATCAGCCCAGCACTCGTTACGGGATCGTCGCCAACGTGTATTTTTATCGTGTAGAAGCAACGACAAGATCACCACCAACAACCACAATGACGACGGAGACGATGACATCCAGGCAGAACGCGCGGATCCAAGGTACAAATTGTCCGAGATCGGAACTTTTTTTTTTGCCGCACCCCGACGTGTGGTTCGCCTCATCAGCGGAGCCCCCTCTGGAAGATGAAAAGCAACGTACATGGCCCAGCAGCAGAGGCTTCGTTTGGCAGACAGAGTCGTCCGTTGCGTGTGGTCAGCCGGGAGGGTGTGTGTGCGGAGAGTTGTGTGCGGTCGGGTGGTGAGATCGTCCTCGAAGGATCGTCTCATCTGATCGGGACGGGGGTATTACCCGCAACACCCGTCACACGTCACAACACACCGCACTCCCCCGCAGCACGTCTCTCTTTTGAAAAAGAACAGAGAGGCTGGTTGTTACACGCTGATTGACCATCATCCCCACCAGCGGCTGGCACTGATCACACAAAATGGCGACGCAGCCCACACCAACGAGAGCACGCACGCCGTCGGGGCGAAGGTCGCCTGTTGCCTCCGTAGCAGGCTCCGAGTCGAGCGCCGTTACCGACAGCGAGCGAAAGACGCCCAATGGCATCGGGGCTGGCGGGTTCGCGGGAGGAGGAGGAGGAGGAGGAGGAGGGGGCGGGGGAGACAGAGCCAACAGCGCCGTTCGCGTGGTGGTTCGAGTGCGGCCGCAGAACAAGAAGGAGATCGAAGCCGGCGGTACGGTGTGCGTCACATTTCCCAGCGAGGTGCGATGTTGGTGGGCCATCGTTTTATCATTGATGGCGGTTTTATCTCTACATCATGTGATACTCTGGGCTGCTGCCAGTAGCCGATGGCGCCCGTCGTGACGTTTCAAAACGTTTGTTTTCCCGCTGCTGCTGATGATTAATGGTGTCCACACTGCACGCCGCAACTCTTGAAGCCTCGTCGTTGCACTGGGTGTGCTGATTGAGGAGTCGTATATTTTAACGCACGCCCCTCCCCAACATGAAACCGCCTGGCGTATGCGTATGCATGTATGTAGACTATCCAGTATCCATAACAGCGTAACAGCCGAAACAGGAGAGCTAGAATATGGCCCATTTTTCTTTTTTGGTACACAGCAGTAGCGGCAAGGCGAAGGTCTATCTTCAGATGAACAAGGGGTGGACTAGAGGGAAAGTACACTGAGGCACAGGGGTCCGCTGGCGGTATGCAAATGTCCAGAGGCTCACAAATTGCCGCGTGAGTCTTGTGATTACCCCGTGTGCTGCTTTGAACCCTGCGTCGACATTAACAAGAGTAGGAAACCGCGGGGGCGGGTTCGACAATTACCACACTCCTTTTCGTCTCGCGCTTGTAAGATGAGGGTGTGGCACTTGATAGTGTATTGCGAAATGTGAACACATGGCATCAAGGAGCGGGATCTCATACCTACACGCGTTGCTATGTATTGCTTCACGTCGTGCGGTGTTGTACTTGACATGGTGAGAGTTGAGAGCTACCGCTGTGCTCACCAGCCTGAAGAGAGCGTGTGAACTCGGAGGTTGAAGGATCAGCAGTAGCCATCGACAGACAAACGAAGGGCGTGATATGGTGCTTGACGCCGGAACATATATGTAGGTGCCTGCATGCTTCATCAACAATAGCTCCAGCAGTATCATTCAGCAGGCACGTGCGCCTGGCTGCTGTGAAGACTTCAACACACGTCTTCGAACGTTTTTTTGTTGTTGTTGAACGGGCAGTCTCACTTTGATACTCCTTGAAGTAATTTTCTAAATGAAGCTACACGACAGCAGTCGTTCACGCCGTTGGTGTCAACGGGAGTAGTACTTCGTTCAGCCCCTGCCCAGTTCACTGAGCCCGGCGGGGTCATGGCCTCTTGCTTGTCCCAATCAATCGGCTCGCCATCACACTGAGTTGAAGGGGTTTGTGTCCAGCTGTTTTTGGACGCGACTTTTTTAGCACTCGGGAGACAACTTTCGCGCCAATGTGTCGCTTCGATCGAGAGCCCAATGCAGCTCATACTCCACCGCGCTAGAGATGAAGGACCGTAGAAGGAGATAATCTCTGGTGGCATGAGGGACCGGCACAGCAGCGATTGAAAGTAGGGTGCAAAAGTTGGCCCACAGAGACACAACTAAACGCTAAACTCCAGTAGTTCGCGTTTGGGCTGCAGCGGTGCAGCGCGGCGCCAGGAAGACTCAAGAAATGACCATCCATGAACCTGCCTCCAAAAAAGTTGCCACATATTATGATTGAATTCAAATCCATTGAGCATATGAGCGCAACTTTGTTGTTTCGCAATCAATGGTAG